GTCGAGACCGTCGATTTCCTTCCGACGTTCGAGCAGTTGCGAGTGTTTTCGAGAAAGATTCGATAAACGAGTTTCGAGAGAAAGAGTCGAACGAGTCGAACGGTGGATGGGAGGAATCGTCGAGGATCGAGAGATCGACCGCGACCGATCGACGATCGTGATATTCGTTTTCGACTTCTGGGAGTCTCGAACCGGGAGAACAGCGTTTACACGGGGAACCACAAGTGTCTTAGGCCAATTCGAACGTAAAACACAAGTGTTTCGTGTTCGAGTGAGCGAGTTACGTCTATCCAAATCGCCTCCACGCGTCCAGACTTCGATCCACGCCACATTTTACTGAATTTTACGCTAATTCGTGGACAGAATTTCGCAGAGTGATTCGTTAATATCATCTGATCGATCATTGTGTCTCCAAGCTAACGCTCTTTTCATTTTAAATCATTATTATGCCATATTGGAAGATACAAAATGAGCAAAATAAATTGGGATTGAATTTTGGAAAAACCTTGCATATCATCTCGAGTGTCCAACAAATGTTTTCATTGGATTTTATTTCCAAGAAGAGAAGCTATTTAAAATTTTCTTTCCTCAAAGTGTTTGATCTTTCAAACGTTCTCTCATCTTTCAGAAAATTTAGAGATCACTGCTTTGTAGTCTCTAGAAACTATAAAATCATCAATATTCTCTGTCTTTCCCTATATTTCGTCGCTTGACCACGCGTTGAAATCACCGAGATTCGCGTCGATGCAGATACGCGCGAAAATGTCCTCGCCAACCTCAACTGTTGCACCTTTTGCTAATTCGTTTCTCATATTCCTTACATTTCGATCTCTATTTTAGAACTTGTTCAAACAAATCGTCCAAAAATAGAACGGCGATATAAGGATTAAAATTTGCTTTCGTAAGCATTGATTGCTCTGTTTATTTGGACGTGTCGTAAATCAAAAGGCGCAACTTCGTTCCGGAAGAAAAATACTTGATATAAATTTTTTCGAACATCGTCGATTTTCTCTACTTTTTACTAGTTTGACGATCGTAAAAAAAATTTACAGAAATTCTTTTTATCGAGTCTTTGATCCGGTATATTATGTAATAGGAGATAAACACTATCGTTGTTTATCTATAATCACTGGCGAACACAAAGGGGAGCTACAACGACTCGAACAACACAATCATTGACCATAAAACGTTAATATTTTTTTTATTTCTATTAGATACTCTCTGTAATTAATTTCTATTTTCATTTATAGTCGTTGCATGTCTTATTCGAGCACGGAAAATGAACACGGTTGTTCGGAAAATATATGGACCATATTTTCATCCAGATAAAAGTGTCAAACAACGAATAAAAGAGTAAACAGCTCTTGATCTGTCGTTTCCATCGTAAAATGAAATTATTTTCCGCGTTCGACGTATATTTGCATAAATGTTTCACGAAATCTAGCTCCTTCGAGCCGAATTTCAGCACGCAAAATCATCGATGTGAATTTTAAGCCAAAACGTGAATGTTAAGAAAATAAAAAATGTCTTCTCGCGAGATAATTCCGGAGAAATTATTCCTGCTACAGGATCTCGCGTTTAATCCCGTTGTTGCTCGTCTATAATTAATTTTACACCTTCCAGAGGCTCCCAACGAAGGGAAACGTCTTTGCAATTTTTATTTCCTCTTACATAAGTCCCCAACGAAAGAAAGAATAATTCGTTTTATTATTATTTATTAATATATCTAAACGGAGTTTGTGGAGCTTTCTAAATATAAATTATCGCGATCGAAAATTGTCTCGCGAGAAGAAAGTCTTAATAACCTCGCGGAGCCAGCCAATCGTACGTAAAATCGTCGGGAGATAAAACGGGAAAGGTAAACGAATAATCTTGTCACGAGGCGCTACCAGATTTTAGATTCAATATTGTTGTTTATCTACGATTAACGTTACGTTCGAAGAAAGACCGAGAAACCTGTACATCTGTTCCGTATCAGAAAAATTTCAGGGACACGAAACCGAACCGAGATCCTAATAACTTTAAATTGTAGCCACACAAAAATTGCTATTATTCGTTCCAAAATACAAATAAGACTTTGCAATTTCTATTTGCTTCTCCGCAAGCATCGACAAGGAACCGATCGACCGATTTTTGTGTTATCGTTCGTGCAAATTACGTGAAAATTTCCAAAGTAAAAATGCACGTGGGAGGGGGGAGGGAGAAGAAGCAAAAGGTGCCCGGGAAAATTAAAAAGAAAATGGAGACTCACCGTGATCGGAGAACGATGAGGAGCAATTCGACGGGTGGCCGAGTCGTGTCTAATCGTATGTGCTGCTCCAATCTGTGTCGCGTCGACAGTCGACGACCGACTCGCGGTGCCGACGCGGTTACGTTTACGATTCGTTAGCGAGGATGGCCGAGGAGCGCGACGCGGCTTGACACAGGTGCGCTGCCAAGCTGCGTCGACGGTTCTGGGACGGCTGCCGCCTGGTAGCGTCGCACCGAAGCTTCGATTCGAGCACGGAGAGACCGCGTCAAATATTGACCGACCACGATTAGGCCTACGATGCGTGCGGAGGCTTCGGAACCCGTCGATACGACTTTCACCTTTCACGCGCCGCCCGCCATCTTGGTACCGCGGGCTGCGCGCGCATCGCAGCCTACAAGGGATGGCCACCCTGTCGGCCATCTTCCTTCCTCCACCCAATGCTCGATGTTATTAAAATCGAAATACGTTTTACGTTAGAAAACATAATTATTTACCACCAAATGATTCGTAGTGAAGTTTTTGGGACGCTGTGCCATTCCATTCGAGAGATTTTCGTCAATCGAAATTAACGTTCATATTTTTAGGGTCAACCAACAATGATCAGTTTTCTTTATTGGATCTGTTTCTAAAAAATACGATTTTTGTTAATTACAACATTGTATCTAACGTATAATTTGAAGGATAATAAATATTATCATCCCTTAAACAATTAGATTAAAGAAATATTATTTTTCAACGCAGTCAGATTCAAACATGAGCGTTAAGGGATTAATACTGAGTTTCGTGCACTCGAATGACTTTAATTAAGTTGGTAACCACTTGGAGCGTGTAGTTTATTTACCACTTTATTTATGGAGGCAGAATATTTGGAATACTGATTTTTGTTACGTAATTTTATAAAACGTGATAGACTTTAACTATGAGCATGGTTGGTAACACAAATTGGAGCAACACTTTATTAATAGAAGCAGTATACTTGGAATATTGATTCGTTTAGGGTGGATAATGAATGTACCAAGATGGGAGATGCTTTCTTGTGTTTCAAACTCTCTGTAGCGACATGCAAACGAGTATTTTACATTCCTCAAATATTTTTATGTACCATAATGGTAAAACTACTCATCATACATCACTAAACCTCCATTTCCTCCTATTATTAACAGTACTAATTAAAATACTTCAAATATCATCTACAAACGAGTCACAAACAGCGATCTCACGTGGATGGAAAGCCTTCAAACGAGACTTACATAATTCTAGTCTAGTGGAACGATCAAGACGGTGCAAAAAAACAGATCTACCGCAATATCAACATTGTATCCCAGTGACACCCAAATAATCGAACACCTGCCATTTTTCTAAAGAATTGCATCCAGTATTTCGACGAGGATTTTCCAGTTTTTCGTGAACGTGAAGGGACAACGGGGGAGACGAGGTGGTGGAGGAGCAGGGAGAGGCTACGGTGGATTTATTGCTGGCCCCCCCTCCCCCTCCCAGGTGATATTTTTTCCTTGGCAACGGAGAACCGTCGCCAGCGAAGGGATCGGTTTACTTTTCACCGCCGAGATATATGCCCGTGTGGGTGTATGTGGAGCGCTCGCGACGCGTTATCGTTGAAAACCGCGGCAGAGGAGGCGAATACTCGGCTCGTGAACGTGTCGTCATACTTACAGAGCACACACGGGACTCCACCGATAAGACGGTCAGGTGAGACGCGGTCGTAAGACGCGAGGAACCCGGGGAACCCCGAATCTACGCATTTGAAATCGTCGACCTAGCGAAATAAAAGTCAAACTAGGAATTTTCATCGAACTCGTATCAAGATTGGAAGCCTTCTTAACCCTTTATGCTTCTAAAATTCATTTCAATATGGCTGCTCGAGTACAATCTCGTGACCCAAAGTGCGTCCATTATAAATAAATTTTTGCCACGTGACAAAAGATTCTTAAGTGTTCCTCGATTACGCGAACAATAATTATTTGTAAGATATATATTAATATTTGTTTAACCTTAGTCGTTGATAAATAAATTTCAAGGACGATAAGAGTCGAACATAAAATGTAAAATTGCTTTCCCTAGAAATATTGAATATATTTCCCTATTGTCGATCACAAATTCTTAATAATTTTGTTATGTTCTAGCAATGATCTTGGTAAATAAACTTTCTAAAGAGAGCCTAGCATAACCGACTGTACCAAACTGTTTATATACAACGCTCGATAACACCTTGCTATCTCTCGACCTTGTTGACTATTCTTTTCTACGAATCACTCTGGTTCATCTTCCCGAGCACCTGATAATTCCTTAATTTATTACACGTTGGGAGAAATAATTCAGTATCGAATCCGGAATCCGGAAGCCATGAAGCCTCGAAAAAAGACTATACAAAATGTATAAAAATATATTTTCGAAAGACACTATTCTAACTATAACTACTTCCTCACCAACCTCGAGAACTGATTTTTATTTATTTATTCCCACTCCCAATGTCCTTCAAAGTACCACCCACGTGTTTAAAGTGATTGGGGGTTATTTTATTTGCAGGCGAGGTACCTAACTTTTTGTAAAAATGAGATTCTCGATAAAAAAAAAATGGAGAAAATCGGGCCACGGCGGTGAACGTGCTACGCCAATGTACTCGTCCCAACCTTTAACCGAGATTAGCCGAGATATCGCGTTATCGCCGAAAATACACAGGGATGAAAAGTTTTCCAGCGTTCACCGACTCCTCCACGCCAGCTGGTCGTTTCCGTTCCCCTCGTCCCGGTTCCCCTGGCCACGTGGAACGCGTTCCCCCTGAAAACGTCACCCGAAAAAGGTCGCTGGTCCACGACAATTCCAATTTAAATATCCCTTTTTATTTAAAAATATCCGATTCGATACAGCACACTTCGAAAACACGCGCGTTACCGGGCGTTGCGCGCGCAGCCATCGCGTCCATCGATCGCTAACCTAAAAACTGCTCTCTCGATCTTGGCGCGTTCGGGCGCAGCAACCGGATCGAACAACGCTCAGAAAAGATTATTATCCTTTTCAAAAATATCTCCGACTTAAACACCTAGATACGCTTAACGTTTACGGGTTTAATATTTAGCACACTATTGTCTATGTACAAGGAACGACGCGTCGTCGCTTCGACCGTGTTTCCGTCCATCCAGCGCGATGGTTTTCTTCCTTCGACCGTGAATTTATTATCAGGCTGTTCGCTGAAAGTTGATCGAACTCTCGCCTGGTGGATTCTCGATGTCCACCATCTTGTATTCGCTCGAGAGTTTCACTATTCGAGCAGAGATGGGCAAAATTTATTCGAATAAAATGCTCATCGAGTTTTAAAAAAATAAAATTTTGATTCCATGATTGGAATCTTTTAAATTTTGTTCCAAGGATAAACAATAGAATTGTTCATCTCTGCTCTTTATTCACTGCCCCATGAAACAAAATGCTTTCCAAAGTTCCAAGCCATTTTGTTTCGTTGGCTCTCGTGTTTCGTTGAACGTAATTCGTATTTTTACTAATAGTTAACATTCTTTATACATCTGCAGAGTTGGGCAGATTCTATCCACGAACAGCGAACGAAAATTTTAAAATCATTCGTGGACGTCATTTTGGGGGGAAAAATCTAATTTACATTTAGCGTACGAACGAGTGTAAAATTTTTATTGGTTGCAGGTATCGTGGATAAAATTTACCAAACTGTTCGAAGAGCGAGGGTCTGGTATGGGGGCTGCTATCAGAGATGGGTGAAATTCTTATCTAGATAAAACCGACGATCAACGAACAATGGCGTTCGTTTCTCGTTGGAATCGAAAATTAAAAACTATATCGGAGCAATGTTTTGTCCATTTCTGCCCACTGGAGCAGGGCTGCCAAGCTCAGGGCATCTGCATAATAACGCGACAATTGTACAAGGTTATTCTAAGGTCAATCTAGCTCTGCCCAATCGAGAAGCTATATTTTCATTTGCAGAAGACATTTAGTCACTACTTTCAAAATGAAGGAGTCATGCAAAAGTATCTCCAAAGCAGCCCCGTCAACGACTCTCAAAAGCAAAATTCTCCATTGAACGCTAACAAACCCTTCGAAATTTAAATCACCATAAGTTTCTTGGGCCTTATACAGTCTCAGGCCCATCGCGTTTCCACGAGAAACAAGGACGAAACGATCGATGCCCGACGTTCTTTCTCCTCCCACGCGCTCCTTTCTCTCAACGTCCACACTGTTTCCGGTCCGTCGTCCATCCACACAGTTTCTAATCGATCCAGTTTCTACCGTTCCAGGAGCAGAGACTTTGGACGACGAAAACAACCCGGAATAAAGGAGGAAAGACTACGAACTCCGGACCCCGGACCCAGGATTCTGGATCTCGGATTCGGGACGCCATTGTTATTTACAAAGTCAGAGTTCCGCCAGTGGTTCGACAATAAATCTCTCGCACAAGTTTTTCGTCCAGCGTTCTGTTTACCCTCCACACTCCCCTATCCGTGGTTTATTCTTTGGTTCGTGGGTTTACGGACCCCTCGACGACGACGTTCCGTGCTCCGTTTCCGTCCAGGATTCGAGGCGAGAAAGCCTCTCTTTCGCGAGGTCGTTTCGCCGGTCCTCGAGCTGTCGCAACGACGGGAAACTACGGAGCGAACAAGAAAAAAAAGACCCGGGAAAAAAGATTCGTAAAGTTTACCGTCGTCGATACGCGAGGGGCAGCTGCGAGGCGGACGTGCGCGCCTATGGTCTTTCATCTTGTCATCGTCATCTCCGTGTCAGGATCCTCGCGATTTAAGAGGATATCGAGACTACCGTGGGTCTGTCCAGGTGACCGTTGTCGAGAATGATCTTGGGGGCGCCCGTGCTCGGCGAGGAATTGCCCAGGGTGACGATGTGGGGCGCGGCCAGCTGGTGATGATCAGGCGAGTGGCTCGCTGAGATCATCACCGGCGATCGATTCGCGCAGGGTGGCGACGGGCACTCGACTTTCGGCGAATGGGTCTCGAGGAGCTGCTGATGCTGATGCTGGTGGTGTTGCTGTTGCTGTTGCTGCTGTTGTTGCTGCTGGGACGCGATCGACTCGTAGTAGATCCCAGGGTTCGACTGGTACGAGACTATCCGATTCGAGGGCTGAAACGAACCGTACAGCGCGTTGCTGTAGGTCATTTTTGCTACTCCGGCGTGGCCCATCCTCAGCTCCCCGTAGGTATCTGTTGGAGCAAATAGACGCGTGTCACGGTCGTCGAGAATCTGGTTGAAGGAACCATTGGATCGGTTGATAAACGTGGCTGAACGAGCAGAAGTTTGGGAGCTCTTTAATAAAGAGATATAGTACTGCATCAATCAATTGTGAACACGGATTATTTGGAAAAATAGTTTATCTGTTGTGGAATGGGTTTCAAGGGAAAATACAAAATGGCGGGGTGAGGATTTAATGATATGTACTTTGACAGTAATTTCTGCATTATTTTTGGCGATCAGTTTGTTGATCGAGGAACTAGGAATGATTTTTACTGTTTTTGATAGTTTTTTAATGACGGAATAAATAAAAATTCTGTATAAACGATAGGTTTTATGATATTTTGAGCGCTTTGAATAATGTAATGTGATACTATCGTGGGTCAGAAATGACACAGACTCGTCAGAATGGACATCCCCAAGAATTCTATTTAAAAGACGACAGAATAAATAAAAATTCGGAATAATTTGATCGTTTTAAATAATCTACTGTAATACCATCAAAAATGACCCAAACCAGTCAGAATCGACATCCCCAAGGATTATATTTAAAAGACGACAGAATAAATAAAAATTCTGAACAAACGCTAATTTTTATGATAATTTGATAACACTTTGGATAATGCAATGTGATACTATCGCGGGTCAAAAATGACACAGACTCATCAAAATCGACACCCCCAATGTTTCTATTTAAAAGTCGACAGAATGAATAGTTTTGCCAATAATTTGATCGCTTCGAATAATGTAATGTGATAATATCGTGGATCAAAAATGACCCAAACCCGTCAGAATGAATATCCCCAAAGATTATATTTAAAAGACGCCAAAATGAATAATTCTGACAATAATTTGATAACTATGAATGATAATTTTGCACGTTTCAGCGACCAATGGTTCAGTTTTTGTAACATCGAGCGCAGAAACTCGTACTGTACGTACCCGGTTCCAATTTCAAGCTGATGTTGTTGTTGTTGGTGTTACTGTTATTGTTGTTGTTGTTGGTGTTCGAGCAAGCGGAACCGTTTCCGGGGATCGACGTGTCGGTGGTCTTCATGCCGCCCTTGGGCTTCCTCTTTCTCGTCTGGATGCTGTCCTTCTTCATGGTGGGCGGCCTAACCACGCCGTGCAATTTATAATAAAGACCGCAGGCGTTGCAAACCGGCTCGCCCATGGCGTTCCGACGCCACAACGACGTCATCGTCGTCTGACAATTACTGCACGAGGTGCCGACTCGCCTCGACGCCGACTGTGGAAACACGAAACCCTTTTTAAAGTACACGTCTAACCGCTCGTACTTCGACGGTCGAGAGAAATAAAAAAAAAAAAAGTACCGAGAGCTAGAATAATTCAGGAAAAAGGGCAACAATTCTAATTTGGATACAAATCTCGAAAGATGGATCAAAGATTTATTCCACAGACGTTAAAAACAGAATTAAAACTTTAAATAAAAATTTACTCGATCTAATAAATTCAAAAATCATTGGTAGGTATAAAATTTCAAATAACATAGAAAAGAATTGAAATTTTGATGAACTTCGAACAGTTTTTAAATTGCAAATATTCAAATGACAAAATTAAACAGTTCACGAGAGATTCGACCATATTTCTTTGATAAATGGATCCTGATCGTCGCTCGAGATCATCTCTGGATAGTTTAGTTCGTAGTAGGATGAAGGCTCGATTCAGAAAGAGAAGGAAAACGAGGAGAAAGAAGATCTTACGTCTACATTAACCTAGAATTAGACACGAGAAAATTAGACTCGACGGGCACCGTTTATTCTTAAAACAACCATAATTTTGCACTCTTGCAATTCTATACATGGTCGAGAACGATAGAAATATTTGAAACATTCGAGACCATTGTGTTACATTTCTCTAAATACGAAGGAACAGAAAAAAATGAAATTTATTTTCGACAATTTTACACAATCTTATCAATAAGAGATATTAGTATACACAGTGGTACGGAATATTGCAAATATTTCTTTCCAAACGAGAACTTAAAATTCAATTCAAACAACTTTATCGATTACATAATAATTTGTATCATTATAAACCTATTTATTTTAGAATGGTGCCTTCCAGAAAGTTTAGCAGTCTGGTCCCCCTCGAGTCTCATCTTCTCGCCGTAAAAATAGCGTTTCGTACAGAGACGGGCAAAATTCTTACTCGTTATTAACCCCTCAACGCTCATATTTCTCGAATCGACCAAGAATGATCAGTTTTCTTTATTCATTACAATTGAATAATTATTTTTGTTAATCACAATGTTGTATCTAGCGTATAACTTGAAGGAGAACAAATATAGTCATCCCTTAAACCATCAAATCAAACAAATATCGTTTTTCAAAGCAGTCAGACTAGGCATGAGCGTCAAGGGGTTGACCTAAACAAAAATCATCAAAAATAACATCGAAGAACAAAAGTAAAAAATTTCAATTTCAAGCTACCTCTCGCAGCGAGTAAAAATCTTAAATAAATCACCGTTTTGATCGATCGAACAAAAGTTTGCCCGCCTCTGGTTCTAACACGCTCGAAACACGAAACTGGTTCGTCGATCAAGAGTTTCCGGCCGCGACTCGGTCCACGGATTGGTCCACGGGTCAGAGACGGGCAAAATTCTAGTCTGCGTGAAAAATTTCCAACAACGAGTCAGAAACTGAACAACCACGAAGAAAACAATAGCGAAGAGAAATCGAAGCGAGCGCGCGCATACTGTCGATCTTTGAATAGAACTTTGCCCAATCTCTGGTCCAGGCCGCGCATATGGATTTCGTAAAGGAGATCGCGATCGTACCATGGGTATAGTGGCACCTCGAAGCAACGAGAAATTTTCTACCAGAAGTATTGCCGCCACGGAACGAGTCAACGGGCGCGAAACAAACGTCGTTCGCTGTCTTCGAGTAATTTCCAGGGACATTGATATATACACATGGAGGAACGAGCTGGGAGAAAGAATATGAAAAAGTGATTCCGTCGATGATCGAGAACGGATATCGAGAGTGTACGATCGGAACCAAATGATAGTAGAGAAAGGCTTGGTGGTTTGGAAAGACAGAGACAGAGAGTGAAAAAGAGAGAGAAGAGAGAGAGAGAGAGAGAGAGAGAGAGAGAGAGTGGGGGGGATAAACACCTACCAAACGGCGGCTCGATTTCTCCTCGAAGGCGCGACGGGTGCCACTATACCCACAGAAGCCTTTGTAGAAATCGCCCTGGTCCGCCACTGAAACAGAGACAGGATGACAAACGTTAGGGTTGCTTGTCTTTCTATGCGCGTGGAATTGTTCTCGACCCTCTCTCGAGACGCGCGACAATCGCGAGAAAGAAAAAAAAAAAAAGAATGGAAAAATACGAATAGAAATTGGAAACGCCTCGACAAAGGCACGATCGACGGGCGAATTTCCACACAGGCTCCTGTTGCTATACTCCTCGATCATTTTACCTCCTTTGTCGCCACTTTTGCCTTTGAAGCCGCCGGGGATCGCGGGCGGCGACGAGGAATCGTCGTTTGGGCTAATTTTCAGTCGATCAATCGTCATCGAGAATCGATCATATCGATATCGATATCGATATTACGTCTCGACCCATTCTCGACGGCTCTTTGCGACCAGAGTGCTATTACAAACTCGTGAACTCGTAACTTTTTACGATTTTAAGAAATTTATACAACTTACGAAACAATAACACGTTCACTGCCGGATCAAAAACAGTAGAATATTTTGCAAAAGTAAAATTTTGATTTTAGATCATTGTAAGCTACATAACCACATTTAATAAAGAATTACATCAAGATATAAAATCTTTATTGAAAATTAATTCCTCATTTTCATATATAGATTCTAATACATACATTATAGAAAAAAATAAAAATGATATAATTCAATATATACCAAAATATAAAATAAATAATTTTGTAGATAATATTATAATTAATATTATAATTGATGTATGTGAAATTGAAGAATAAACCAATAATTTTTTAATAGAAATAGAAGAAATTAAAACTATAATTATTGAATATAATATACTAATAATAATAATTATTATAACCTCAAACAATTCTCTTAATAAATATACTAAATGTAAAGGTTGAAGTTTTAAAATAGTTGAAAATATAAATAAATGCATTTTGATTTTAGATCATTGTAACCTACATAACCTAACATTTGTTTCAGGTTTTATTTCCGTAATCTTCTTAAAATTCACAAATTCTATTCAAATTTATTTCCCTCGCCGTCTTGACTTGAGAATTAATTTATTCTAGTATAATAATGGTAAATCCTGTGACCCATATGTGGGTGACGTGGCAGTGAAAGTGTTAGAGAACATGATAATCGTGAGAAAAAAAGATCGATTTCGACTGAAAATTGCTGGATCGACGGCCAACTCGGCGGAGGAATGGTCCTCGTCGCGCGCGATTGCTTCCGTTCTTACCAGTCGACGTGGCTGCTTGACCAAGGGTCGGTTCATTCCGTTCATCTTGTGGTAGAGACCGCATGCGTTGCACAGGTAATGGCCGGTACCGTCCCGTCGCCACAACGGGGTGGAAATTGCGCCGCAGTTCACGCACTCGCGGCCCTCCGTAAAGTATTCCGCCTCGATGTTGTGCACTGCGCGTTTCGTACATGTTCAAACAGGTGTCCTGCGTCCGCTGTCTTTCGCGGCCGAGGGAATAAAAACACGCGGCTTTGTCTGCTTCGAACGTTCAACGCCGCAAAAGGAGGAGTTTACTCGTGTCTCGGGGCTCCCCGAAGGCACTGTTTGCCAATTTCGGAATTTTTTTAGAAATAAGTACCGGACCTATCGAAACGAAACTGGGTCCATCGATCAACATACTTACGGAGATACTGTACGATTTTTTGCGTGCAATTCGCTGCAACAGCAAACGAGTACGCGGGGTGTTCGGATACATGCGAAACATAGAAATCGGGGACTCGCGTGTACTCTCGAATTTTTTGGGGGGAAAAGTACGGGAGATATCGAAACGAAACTTGGTGTGCTAGTTAACATACTTACGGAGATATTGCACGATTTTTTGCGTGCAATTTACTGCAATAGCAAACGAGTAGGCGGGGGTGTTAGGCTAGATGCGGAAGATCGAACCCAGGGACTCGCGTGTACTCTCGAATTTTTTTGGGGAAAAGTACGGGAGATATCGAAACGAAACTTGGTGTGCTACTTAACGTACTTACGGAGATACTGTACGATTTTTTGCGTGCAATTTACTGCAATAGCAAACGAGTAGGCAGGGGTGTTAGGCTACATGCGGAAAATCGAAGTCAAGGACTCGCGTGTACTCTCGAATTTTTTGGGGGAAAAGTATCGGAGGTATCGAAATGAAACTAGGTCCATCGATTAACATACTTACGAAGATGCTGTACGATTTTTTGCGTGCAATTCGCTGCAACAGCAAACGAGTACGCGGGGGTGTTCGGATACATGCGGAAAATCGAAACCTGGGACTCGCGTGTACTCTCGAATTTTTTGGGGGAAAAGTACTGGACCTATCGAAACGAAACTTGGTGTGCTAGTTAACGTACTTACGTAGATGCTACGTAAATTTTTTCGCCTGATTTACTTCAATATTAAATGGGGATATCGATAATATAATTGTAATAGAAATAATTTCCTTTTGTAAATTTTGAAAAATAAATTAAAATCGTATGATAGATGGTTGAGGTTGAAAGTAGCATAGGAAATATTGATTAAATTTGTGAGTTTATGAAATACGAAAACTCCAGGGATTGGAATGGTGCTAACGCCTTGAGCGAAGCTATATTGTGTCGAAAACATTTGACGTGCGTGGATGGTTGGGTAGAGGGGGTGGAGAAAGGGAGGGGAGGGGTTAAGAAATAGAGTAAGGTGATTAAAGTTATCAAATTTTCCATGCTTTTTCAACGCCTCGAGGTTAATTAGTTTGCATTCTAGGGCTCACAACCGCCACGTGTCGTCGAAACAAATATTTTTATCGTCGTTGACACGATTCAGAACCATAATTATTAGGTTTAGAAAATCCAATTCGACTATATTTACTATCATCTAAGTATCGGTTTTCTTATACGACTATCGGTTGCAAAATAATTTGTCAGGCATGTAATTGCTGTAAATCGAAGCAGCAGGAAAGTACCAGCGAAACGAAATGCGCGTGTACGTCGAGGAGGAAGGATGCAGGAAACGTAACAACACGCGACAGAGGATGTAGATGGACACGGTGTTATCAGAATTTCCGGCGTGTGGCGATAATAATAACTAACAACCGCTGCTGGACGCCGGGAATATTGCTTCTGTGCGTATCGTATGGTCCTCGAAAGAGATCGAGGAAACGCCAGAATTCACAGAACCACAAAAATAAAAAAAAAATCACGACAAATCGAAATATTAACAATGATCGAAAAATCGTAAGAAAGATAAAAAAATTGCAAAATTACAAGTTTATGGGTTATTCTAAGAGAAAATAATATTTCTGTTGAGGATACCATATGCCTGTTTAAATATGGAATCTTTCTCTCGAACGAATTTTTTGGTGAAAAAAAAAGAATTTCAGATCGTTTTGAAAAATTATTTTTAGTTGAGGGGCTCAATTACAATCATTTTTGGTGGATAGACATACCCACGAAATCCTACGCATTTTCGAGAAAAAAAATTCAATAGGTGGACAAATTTTTCGGCAAAAATGAAAAATTTCAAATCGTTTTGAAAAAATTATTTTTAGTTGGGGGGGGTCAATTAGAATCATTTTCGGTCAATAGACATACCCCCGAAATCCTACGCAGTATCAGGGAAAAAAATTCCTAATTGAAAATATAATGTGAAATCTCATGCTCACGTTTAAAAAATCATAACTTCTGAACGGATTGGACGATTTTAAAGTTTCAAGAAGCAAACGACGCGTATTTTAGTGAAGAATATGTAAAAAAATTTTAAATGTTGGAAAATTTGGTCCTCAACCACGTAATGTGAGAAAAACCCCATAAAAGTGGTCCAATTTTCAAACGACCATAACTCCTATAATAGTGAATATATTTCGATGAAATTTATTTCTGAAGTAGAGCTCATGGATACCTACGAAAAAGTATTAGATAAAATTCCCGTACAGTGTCGAACAAATTTATTAAAAATCAAAAACGAATTCTTATGAAAAATCGACAGGGGGTAGATGCCTAAATTTTTCGGCGAAAATGAAAAATTTCAAATCGTTCTGAAAAAATTATTTTCGTTTACAGGAGTCAATTACAATAATTTTTGGTCAATACACATATCCAAGAAATCCTACGCACTTTCGAGAAAAAAATTCGAGTAGATGCGAAATTCTTAGACAAAATTAAAAGTTTTCGAATCGTTCTAAAAAAATTATATTTAATTGCAGGGGTCAATTACAATCAATTTTGGTCATTAGACATAGTCCCGAAATCCTATCGACTTTTGAGAAAAAAATTCGAGTAGATGTGAAATTCTTCGACAAAATTAAAAGTTTTCGAATCATTCTAAAAAAATTATATTTAATTGCAGGGGTCAATTACAATCAATTTTGGTCATTAGACATACTCCCGAAATCCTATCCACTTTTGAGAAAAAAATTCGAGTAAGTGTGAAATTTTTGGACAAAATTAAAAGTTTTCAAACCGTTCTAAAAAAATTATATTTAGTTGCAAGGGCCAATTACAATCAATTTTGGTCATTAGACATAGTCCCGAAATCCTACCCACTTTCGGGGAAAAAAATTCGAAAAGTTGTGTGATTTTTCGACAAAATTAAAAAATTTCAAATCGTTTTGAAAAAATTATTCTTAGTTACAGGGGTCAATTACAATCAATTTTGGTCATTAGACATACCCCCGAAATCCTACCCACTTTTGAGAAAAAAAAGTTCCTAATTGAAAATATAATATAGTTCCTCGAAATGTCATGTTTATGTTTAAAAAATCATAACTTCTGAACGGATTGAAGGATTTTGAAGTTTCAAGAAGCAATCAACGCGTATTTTAGTGAAGAATATTCAGAAATTTTAACAATGTTCATAAAATTGTTCCTCAACCATATAAAGTAGTCTGTGAAAAATTGTGGGTGGTCTGAGGTTGATGATTGATTAGTTTATATGTTACGGATCATTTGCACCGAATTCCCATGTAAGCCACACACTGTGCGCCGATGAGAAACGCTTATACGTCTCTGGTTACTTCACCAGAGACGGAGTCGTAACAGAGAGGACGAAGAGGTCAGCGTACGGCAGCCGCGCATCCGGCAGAAACGAGACTGGGAAGCAATTGGATATCGCATATAGGTAAGCAACGAGTCGCTGACGTCGGCGACGCTCATCGCGAACGCTGTCCGTTCAGCAACGGACGCTCCGTGGCTCGTATTCCGTTCTCGTACCGCTTTCAGACGCCACCCTTGACCCATTCACGCACGCGAGAAACGATCAAACTCGTCCATCGCAAACTTGCGCCACAAACGCGGAAGGAAACAAAATCAAAATTTCACAGCGTTTCCCTATTTACGCCAAATGCATTCCCGTTCCTAGCAATTGGACAACAAATTTCTATTTACATCCCTCGGATGACCAGCATCCTGTTTACTGTTGTTATTGGCCATCGATAAGCCACTGAGCCAATTACAAAAGATATTACTCAGTGCACTTTCCAGTGCAAAGGTTGTTTTGACGCAAAGTCAGACCTCTAAGTCATTAGGCTACTTGAGTCATCCTCTCCTAAATTGTACCCTTTGTCACAGGCGTATAGGACATGACGTCACTTTTCTTTCAGGTTGATATGCAAGAAAAACATAGTAGCTAACTCGGAATGAACAAACAAAATTTTTTAAACTGCAATTATTAATTAATTCCAGAAACATTTTGAAACAAACTACAAAATCTGTGTGTCAAAATTATTCTAGCCATTCTATCAGGGACGCAGAGAAACAAGGGCTGCTATTGGTGGAATTAAACCACAATTATTAATTAATTCCAAAAACATTGTGACCACATTAAACCACAAAATTTGTGTGTCAAAATCATTTTAGCCATTCTATCAGAGATGCAGAGAAACAAGAGCTGCTATTGGTGGAATTAAACCACAGTTATTAAATAATTCCAGAAACACTGTGAAACACACCACAAAATCTGTGTGTAAAAATCATTCTAGCCATTCTATGAGGGATGCAGAGAAACAAGGGCTGTGATTGGTGGAATTGAACCGGGCCTACCTCGAGCTCCGCGATTGGCTGGTCTCCGTGAAATTTGGCGGGTGCTATGAAACGTGAGACCGGAGAATGCTCGGGTCGAATTTATTGTTCTAATATTCGAGCAACGCAACGAAAACACGTCGATTCTTCGTAACCGAATATTCCACGGCGTCGCGGGCTCCGAGGAAAATGACGAAGCGACAAGGAATGAGAATAGGAGGGTCGAATTACGCAGGGAGACGAGAGGAGAGGAGTCGAAGGAGACGAGGGGACACTGGATAAGGAGAGGAACGCAGACACAAAAGCGCCCGAAGAACGGGGGGGGGGGAGGCTCGGAGATAAGGAAGAGGAGGAAGAGGTCAGAGGACAACGGGAGTCGATGAGAGTGGAGCAGCAATCGGATATAACGCGGGGAAAGGTGCTGACGGGTA